GTCGGGGCCGGAAACCGCAGCCTACTATGTGGGAGTCCAGCGACATAGCCATTACACTAACTGCTGGTCCCAGCCAAGCTAATGTTTTTACAGATGATTTCTTTCAAATTTTATTTTAGCATAATTGATATGCTACTTAGATGATACATTAAATACTGTTATCCTGTGTGTGTTCTGCTTAATTCTATATTGTGAATAATAAAGTTACCATTATTTCTGAATTGTGACTAAATAGAACATATCAGAACACTAAAAGTATAGTAAACAAGTTTATAATTTGATGACTCAGAAGACTTGCTATCCTCATGTGACGCAGAGCTATCATTGTTGATCTGGTTTTATGAGTGCCATTTACAGTAAATTAGATGTATGAAATATACCAATTAATAAAACTTTTATAATAAATGAGTTTATTGTGATTACGATATACAATCATTAGTATGTTTTATTGTCATTTAGTCATTAGTTGAGCAACTCCTCTGTAGAAAGCTTGGTGTTGGGAGCTTATGTTAGAAACCAAGACATATACCATAATTTCTTCAATAGATTATGATTTATAATTTCTTCAATAGATTATGACTTATAAATATAGAATAATTCTTGTCTTATCTTTAGAAATTTATTGCATAACAATGACTTGTTTCCTTTAGAATATATTAAATTGTAGAGGGCAGCCATTCTGAGCAAATATGAAGACCTTTAGATACATCCAGAAACTTGGTTCTATGGGCAGTCATTTTCAGAGCAATGAATTCCATTAATTTGTGAATACATAAGCTACCTCTGCGTGTCTGAAACTGTAAGGCAGTATCAGGTTAAAGGAAGCCACTTGTGTTCATCAGAATTGGCCCCAGAAGATTAGAGAAACTATATGGTGTTATTTCTAATCCACGCCCCCCCCCAAAGAATACATGTTCAGTCATGTGGGTCACAGCATTTAATGGTTGTCTTTCTCTCTTAATGAATCTAAAGGTATTAACAGTGCAGTATAGGAAAGATACCATATAAAAATCATTTTCTACACATAGAATACTTATACTTCTATTGTACACACACTATTTATTTATTTTTGAATTTGTTATAGGGCATGTGTACTCACCGGAAAGAGGTAAAGACAGAGAGACATAGAGAAAGAGAAGGTGGGAAAGCACCCTTCAGAAAGTAGGGCTATGCTGCAATCTCTTTTCCTCCATTCTCCTCTCAGGATTTTAGGCACACATGCTCATACCCATACCCATATACCTGACGTGTTTCTCAAGCGGTCAGATCCTGGACTTGAACCTCATAGTTACTCATTTAGGATCCAGCCATCTTAACCACTGCAGCAGTGTTTGGCCCTAAAGAAAAGTCATCAGGGCTGCTCCATAGATTGGTTGTTCCCACGGTTGGATACCAAATGAATGACCCCACAGTTTGAGTCCCAGATTCAGTGACTTGAAAAACATGTGAGACATCTATGTGTGTGTGTGTGCTCAAAATCTAGGAAGGCAAGAGAGATGAGGAGAAGTGATTGTGGCCATAGCTGTTGCCTGTGGGGGATGCTTTCTCCTCTTCTAGTTTCTCTGTCTCTTTCTGGCAAGTACACACACTTTCTAGTGTACCAAAACCAACCAACCAACCAAACAAACAAAGAAAACCCACAAAAACAACAACAAAAAGTATAGAAAAACTCCCAAAACAAAAATTTTAAAATAAAAATTCTCCAGAAAAGGTAGGAGTATAAAATGACTTTTGGAAATGTCTTATGAAAATTCTTTAGCAACAATTTTACTATCAGTTTTTTATTGATATAATTACTATTTGAACAGGAGTTTATTGTTCTTAAACAATTATTGGTAGATGTGGGATACATTATTGACCCTTTGCTGTGATAAATTGTACCATAGCTAAATTGAAAAAAATAATAACTTTATGAAGCATTTGCTGAAAAATGGAAGTTTGTAAATATGTGTGCATATGTAATTCATATACATATTAATGTATAAATATAAATATGTAACTATAAAAATACAAAAATTAGAATAAATTTTATGGATTGATTGATTGAGAGATTTTTGCTATAGGGTGTGCTCACCGGAGAGACCGAGACTGAAAGTGAGAAATCACTGCCCCCATTGGGGATGGCCACACCACAGTCCCTTCTCTTCTTCTCCTCTATTCTCCTCTTGGGATTTTGAGCATGCACACACACACACATGCCCAGCGTGAGTTTCAAGCCTCTAGGTTCCTGACTTAAACTGTACTTAGCCATGTGGGAGCATTATTCCATCTGCTTGTCCCATAAATGTTATACAGAATAGTTCACCTGAAAACTTTGATGGGATAGATATAATGCATTTTTTCTCCCAATTTTAGAGTTGAATTTCTTACAGTTTCTAGTTTGGGTAATATTAATTCAAGTACAGATTTGGGTTAGCATCAATGCAGAAAAAAAGGACTAGGTAAATATTTCAAAGAGCTGACAAAGTTAAACATCTTAAATGTTACAGAATAATTGACCGAAAACAAGAATAGTAAGCATATTGACCAACACTTAGTATTAAAACGTAAAGCATTTATATGGGAACCAGCAGTTAGCGTAATGGCTATGTCGCTGGACTCCCACGTAGTCGACCGCGGTTCGCATCCCCGA